CTGCAAGTACTTATGCGTATTTCCTCTGAGAAGGAAACAGTCAGACATTTGAAGAAATACGAGAGAAAAGAATATAAAAGAAGATCCTTCGGAAATATCTGAATAACAATTTTTCTTTCTGTATTTTGTATTTAGATCAATGCATGTCATACTAAATTGGATTGTTCTTGGAAAAATAGAAAAGATATTTTTATTTCTTTTCTCTCTTTCACTTTCACTGAACAATTTAGATAAATATTATTACGAAAGAAAATTATAAATCAACATTTGTTATATTGTACTTATACAGGATATCCGGAAAATCACTCGCAATACTTCGAGAAGTGATTCGGAATCCAAAAAGAAAGAAAAAACTATATAAACATAAGTTCGGAAATAAGTTGTTTTCAAGTTATACTTTTACGTCCCTCTTTTAAAAATTTTTTATTTTTTAATTTTTTTACTTTACTAGAGGTATGCCAAACGAACTATATCTCCAAGTGGTACATTCTGGATAACGCCAAAATAATCTGAAATGTAGTCATTTATGTTAAAATATTATGAAATAAATTATGATTGTGATTATGAAAAATAAATTACAATTTTTTTAACGTAAAAGTGGTTATAATTCAAAAATGATTTATTTCCGGACCTATATAGTTCTTTATATAGTTCTTTTCTTTTTTTTTTTAGAATTTCTGAATCATCTCCCGAAGTATTGCAGTTTTCCGGACACTCTGTATATGAGTCTTACTTATGTAAAATAAAAAATGATTTTAAAAAATTTGATATTTAAATTAAAAAATAGAATATTTGTGTCTGCCAAGATAATTTTATCATAGCTTATAACAGAAAAGCAAAGTTAAACATCGTGATTTTTATTAATTAGTTGGAAATACAGATTATGTAAAAAAAGAGGTTATCGTCACATGTAACTGCTATCTGTGGCACGGTGGAACACTGGATGACAAAATCGATTGCAAGTGCTGGCAGAAGCTCTCTGGTATCGGTCGATTAAGAGAGTGATTAAGGTTTTGTGACATTTGAAGCATCATTGTTAAAGTAATGCTCAGAGGCATAGCCGATAATCACTTCGAAAGAGATCCTTATCTTCTTTCAGAAGGCCAAAATTGAAACGGAAAAAATGCGTCTTACCAATCCCTTCATAAATTGGAAAGAAAAAAAGAATGACATAAAGCGAGAAATATTATTGAATATCACTTAATAATTTTTTTTAATAATCTTTCTCAAATCGCATCTCCTATCATACTAGATCAGTAAAATTTAACTGGATCGAACATGGCACACACGTTTCGTAATACACACGAGTCTTCATGTTTTATTTTTCTTTTTTTTCCGCAAACGTCAGCTAGAGATGTAGTGAGAGGGAAGTCGAAAGAGTAAGCAGGAAAGAGCGAAAGAGAGGAAAAGGGGGTTGAGATCGGTGAGTCGAGGTAGTTTGAAGAAGAGGGAGGTTTTGCAGGGTTTGGCGACGATACACGATAAGCACGATCCATCCCCTTCTCTGACCTCAGAATGTCTCTCTGCGTCTTGCACGCTCGACTCGAGACTAAAAGTGCCCACCCACACTACTATTCTCCGCCTATTATTTTCGACCGATTGCCAATTGTTGTGCAACTGCCGACGTAGGGATTCTTCTTACATATCTTATGCAGCTTACTGGCATATCGAGATTATTTACAGATTTGATAGTTATTCGTGACAAATCCGATCGTTATTCACACACACATACACACACACGCGCGCGCGCGCACATACACAAATGCGTGTAATTTATTCGGATTATCATTCCAAAGTATCGTACAGTAATTAAATTATTTTTGACTCAGACAAAGGTTTCAAAATAATTAAGACAATTTTTAATTATTATTATTAAAATTTTATTATTAAAAAAAAATTAATACGTTTTCGGAAAATAAATATAATTTAGATATGTATCCGAAAATAATAATGCTTTGTCACGCCTTCAGATAATTGAGAATACGAAATGTCAAAGTTGCTTCTTTTTAAATATAAACTTATTTTCTATTTAACAAAATAATATATATAATTAAAAAAAATAAAATAATATATATAATTTGTTTGTGTGTCAGTTTTTAAAAATCCTAACATTTGTTAAAATAATATTTTCATTATGAAGTAAAATAAAGAATATAAAATATACGTATTATATGTAAGCTTAAATTTGGTTTCTATTTTTAATATATTTATTATTCATTACAAAGAAACAGCTTTTATCCTACAACTTGTATAAATTTTGTCGACACGCAAAATACAAAATACATGCAAGGCATATTATGGAACTGTTTAGAACGAATTCTGATCGAAATTGTTCAATTATTTCCTAACAAATTCGATTAAATATAGGTATATCTTATATCCACATACATACATGTTATACTCATAAATATAGCTACTATAATTTAGTGTGATTGATAACAACACACTCTCCAGTTGTATGAAATCGACAACATGCGCGTGGTACTTTTTAAGAAATTCATTTTGCTGGGGTACACCCCAATTGATTCACGAAAGGTTAAAGCCGTTGTACACTAATTTAATCTGTGTAAAAGTAAAATGCAAATATTTCGAATTATAAATATAGATTTTATTTAACAGAATAATAAAATGTATTGAGGCTTTTATCCGTTTACATATTTATATTAAATACACGTTTTTATGTCAATTTATCATATACAGCGGCTTTAATGTGCATCAGTGCGTATTGAGTGCATCCGATAGAATTTGCTTCTAGATTTTTATTGTGTTTTTCTAGGGAAAACGAACTAATTCCAATTGAAATCTATTTTAAATATTTCTATAATACGTTTTTTGAATCTTTTGAAATTTGATTTTATTTAACGATTATATCAGAGAGAGAAACCTGAGAAAAAGACATGACGGCTCAAAACCTGTAACCGCAATTAAATTAAATGCTGCCGCGCACTACTGCCCTCTGACAAAATGGATGTAAACTACGTATAGTAATGTCCATTCCCCTTAGGGTACATCGTCCATTTTTCAAGATTGGAGATGATAAATTGATATTTGGTTCATATAAGATTTGTTCAGAGATTTGTTCGCGTCGCAAGCTCCAACATGCTCTAACATGCTCCTATCACAGTTTCTACTCTATCAAGCGTTGGAATAAATAAGAGCTATGATAGGAGCATATTACAACATGTTGGAGCATGCGACGCGAAAAACTTAGAGAATCAAAGAAGAATAGAGCGGATAGCATTCTCTTCTTTAATTGGTTCCGTCATTTATCCGCTTACTTCCGCAAATGTGCATGTATGCATGTACATACACACAATACTAATGCGGTACAATACTAGTGTGTAGCACCGTATGTTCCATTACGCTTCTACTATATCTTCTATTCACTCTAACGAATGGTGGACGAATGCTTCTGACTGAATCTGCTCCATTCTCCTTTGATTCTCTCTGGCTTTGTCGCGTCGCATGCTCCAACGTACTCCAATATGCTCCTATCATAGCTCCTACTCACTCCATTCACCAGTTTGAGGTGACCGGTGCATTATTTCATGATTTATCTATGAGTCTGACCGTAATCATCGCTATTTTTGCGGCGAGTGCCATTAATTTTGAAGAAGAAAAAAAGAATAAGTCCTACTCACTCCAATGCACTCATATTAGAATGAATGATTAGGAACTATGGCAGAAGCATGTTGGAGCATGTTGGAGCATGTGACGTGAACAAACCTATAATTGTGCTACATGTAGCAAGTGATTAGTTCTTAGATCGGTATTCATAGTCGAGTCTTATTTCAAAATCGTCTTAAGCAATATCTTAAGATGCTAATACAGCCTTTTGATTGGTTCGTGACTTCTTAAGATTGGACGTCTTAAGATGGTCTTGAATATAAGATCTGAATACCGGCTTTACATGATGATGATTCGGTTTAACCCTCGGTGGAAATTAGGCCACTGTCTTAAGTAATGTCTTAAGACATTAATATGGCCTTCTGATTAGTTCGTGACTTTAGTAAAATCTTAAGACAATTTTGAATAAGACTCGACTATGAATACCGGCCTATAAGATGCCTAGTAGTGCGACATCTGTCGTCTTTTAGTCATCTGTTAGATGACTGTGTTCTCTGGGATGTTGTATGTATATGTATATTGCTGTATATTGCTGTCGATAATTTAGATATATTTTTATTAACTGTGCCAAAAAATGCATATACATATTATAATGGATTCTAAACTATCAGATGTAGATAATAATGTACGAGTATGTTTCTAACCGTAATCCAATGCGTTCCTCCAAGAGATATCTCTATAATCTTTCCATGATCAATAACTATCATAACTATATCTATACCTATGCTTCGTTATTGTTTAAATCAGCGAAACTATTATTAGATTTATCACTCATATTTTTATTTTAAACGCAGAGATAATCCTAAACGAAAAATCTATAGATTGAGCAAGAAAATAAATAATACGTATAGACAGTACACATATATAATGTATAATATATAACCAAACTTAATTATTGTGAATTGTTTTCAATGATAAATATAAGTATATATATAGATGCTATTCAAACTTCAAATACTTTTGACGAATTTCTAGCATTCGAAACTATTACTATTTATCTTACATTCCTCTCGCTTGCTATAATTAACAATCGAATAATCCTGTCTACACTCTCATATATTAAGATTATAAGATTCTTATCAAGAAAAAATAGATCAAGAGAAAATAGGAAGAAGGAACATGGAAAACACTCGATTAAGATCCACCGAATTAATTTTTATTCGATTATTTTCATTACAAAAATAAAAATGAAAAATAGATCAAACATAAATGTTTTCGATTCTATATTTGATATCACATAAAGAGAAAAAAATAATATTCGAATATTATATTAATATATTATATTATTATTAATATATTATATTATTATGAATGTAAAGCAGAAGAACAAGATTTCACAGAAACAACAAGATATAATTAATTTTTATCTTCTACTCTATTTTTATTTCTTCTTTTCCTGAGTTTTCTCCTGTGCCTTCTCCTGCGCCTTTTCCTGTACCTTCTCTTGCGCCTTCTCCTGGATCGCCGGTTTACCGGTATGTTGGATCTTGATCGTCCGTTCGATTTGCGACTTCGGTTTATCCTTCCTAGGTGCGGTGATGCTCAGCATACCATCTGATGACAAGCTCGACGACACCTGATCGATATCGCACTGTTCAGGTATCATATATTTGCGCACAAACTGCCGTGAGATCCAGCCGTGCTCATCCTGCTTCTCCTCATGTTTAGCCTCGACTATCACAAATTTGTCCACGACTTTGACATTGATCTCTTCCGGTTTGAATTGTTGCACATCCAACATCACTTGGAACTTGTCTTTATCCGCCTTAACGGTCGATATGCCTCCTTCTTCTCTGCTGCGTAACAGTTCGCCCCATGGTCGATTATAATATATCACAGGCCCTGGACGTAGACGCCGGGATGGTTGTTGCAGCGCGAAGCGTTCGAGGATGTTGGGGTGTGTCAGTTGGTCCGGATGAATGCCCAGACCGAAGTTTTGATCGAAAACCCGATGTGGATATTCCAGGTCCTCCCACCATTCGGAGAATAGCAATGGCACCAGAGACATGCTTTCTCAAGAAAGATTTGACAAAGAGACACGGAAAATTTTGAACGAAATTGGCTTAGTTGAGAGTTAATTGGTAACGAGTTGATTTGTTTTTTAGCAACGATTCGCACCAATCAAACTTGCTTTCTGTCAACGGCCGGCTCGCGTCGCGTGTTTTATAGCTCCACAATAATTGCAGGCATGCGCATACGACATGGCAGATGTGATACCGTGTAGCTTCGAGAACGTTCGAGAACATTCATAGTCCGATTAGAAGTTAACACGTATAAATATAAGTACATTCGAGAACAAACTAGCAATTTCGCGATCGCACTACGCGTTTGCAGTTCTTTCTCAATGCATGCACTGCATTTTTTTTCATTTGGAAGATTATTATATAACATATATTACATATTGTCACGTACGTAATGAAGTGGAGTTTTAAAAGTAGTAAAATTTTAGATTCAAGTTTGACGTGCAAAAGATCTGTGGCTGAATTAGTATCATATTTTTGGAAATTCAAAATGAGATAGGTATATTTTTGCATAGGTTTGGCTGGATATATATTTGAATACTTTTATTTAGAAAATAGTATTTATAAGAATTGTATTTTGTATTTTGAGAGTAAAAATATTTTATATTTTGTATTTCAGTATTAATAACGAAAAATTGCAAGTATTTTGTTTTTTAAATATTAAAATTAGCAAACAATCTTATTATGTGAATTACAAGATACAAAAAACTTTTAATCTTTCATTTTTAAATACAAAATATGTAATACTTTTGCAGTAATTCTATTCTTATGCACATGCTGTAATTTTTGTTGCAATTCAATGTTTCTTTTACTTTTATGCTCCATTGAAATATAAAATACAATATATCTTTGTATTGCAAATAATGTGTTTTAAATAAAAGTATTTCAAATACTTTTATTTATCCCTTGGACGAAAACAAGAAAGAGAATTCAGTGTTGTCTAATAAGCAGAAATAAAATACGGATCTAAAGAAAAATTAATTTTAACCGTTATTCGCAATAATAGATCGGTAGTTAAATTCAATAGAAATATATCAATTTTAATTCAGTAAGATGATTTATCATAGTAGAGTAATATCGCAAGAGATATCACTTTTTTATTTAAGATTTTGAGTAAGAAATCGCAGTCATGCATCAGAAAAAAACATATGCAGGAACGTATAAGTAATATGATCGCGAAATTGCAAGTTTATTCTCGAACGTTCTTATATGCATCCGCTTATAATCAATTCATGAACGTTCTTGAAGTTACACGACGTCTTAAGAATTTAAGAAATGAATTCTCGATTAATGTGATCGAGAAAGTTCTATTTGAATGCAGTGAGTCATCAAACAAAGATGCTATATATAAAAGAAATAAAAATAATTAATTCTGAAAAACGCTGATGCACTTTGTTATGCTATTTGTAATGTTAATTGATTATGAGAATTTAATATTGTAAAAAATTTTGATTTAATTAATGTTTCTATTTTAATTTATGTTTACATTTTGATATATAGATATTTTATATATCAGATTAAGCCTAATTAAATGTTATATCATACAATCATAGTGGATGTGTTCCAGTTGAACTTAATGATTTGCTACAAATTATTGAAAGTGGTTGAGTAAGTAAATTATAAGAATGAATTTTACGCCACTTATTTAATTGTGTTGCAAATGATATTGTTTTACTTTTTTTTTTTAAATAAATTTTTGCACAGTAATTCTATTCTTGTGTATGCACATGCTGTAATTTTTGTTTGCAATTCAATGTTTCTTTTGCTTTTACGGAAGCTCGTGATTTACCACATTTATGTAAGTGCATTAACAATGAGTAAAAATATGATTGTTTTTTTTTTTTAAGAACTTCTAAAGACTTTCTGAAGGTTGAAAAGATTTTTTATTCGCTTTTACGATTATTTTTAACGTTGTCAACCGAATTATTTTCGTACACATAGTTTGCAATTTTATTTATATTATTTTCATTATTATTATTGCTCATTACGTATTATTACAATAATAATTGTTATTAATCTCTATGTACAGAAAACACATAGTTATTTAAAAAATTGTTCATTTTGCATACATATTTTTTTAAAGCAACTGTGTTTTTTTTCCATCAATTCATTTGATTCATCTTATTATTCTGTTTTATAAAAATATTAAAGTATGATTATAAAAAAATTAATAGTTTACGAGTTATTTAACATTTTATATTAATATGTGCCATAAATAAAGTATAAAATATCTCGTAAATTATTAGTTTTTTGATATCACTACCTTAATACTTTTATATGCAGAATAATTAGAGAAATTATATTGTGTAAAAAAAATTATACCATTCTGATTAAAAAAATGGAAGTAATCTTCATGTGACCTTGAAAAATCAAAATAATGATGAAATCATTATTTGTTCCACTTCGAATCATAATCTTTTGTCTGAAACATTTTTTCCTGCCGTTTAATTTTCGAGATATTCAGATGTTTTGTTTTAGGTGTCCCACCCTGTATATGTATATGTATACGCGTATTTAAATACAATAATATATCATCGTAATAGTGAACTACTGTCAACTTTATGTATGTCAAATTTAAAACTATTTTAAAATAGTTAAACGTTTTAATCGATCATTATTTAAAAAATATGTACAAAAGAAGAAAGAATTAAAAAACAGAATTTTTAATTGATTGAAAAAATTGACGAATGATTCTTCTTAGATATCATATTTATTATACTTACATTTCTTTTTATTAAAAAAAGATTTCCTTTAAAAGATTTCTTTTTTTATTCTAAGAGAACACGAAGAATACAAAAAAATTAACATACTATTGCATTAAAACCTTTAACTTTATTTATATTGATAAATAATAGATATAAATAAATATTAGAAAACAATCTGTAAATTCTCCATTTGATTTTTTTATTTAAGAATTAATTAACAAAAATTTTTCTTTTGACAAAAAATTTTTTTCTTCATAATCTTAATAGAAATTTAATACTGATCGTTTTTAATATTGAAATAGTAAATTATTTATTTCAAGTATTAAAAACAATACTGTTGTAGTGCTTTTAGTATTCTAAATAAGAAATTAATTACTATAAATAAGAAATAATTAAGAAATAAATAAGAATTAATTACTATCTTTCAGTAATAAATTGGCTAATATTAGATTTCTGTAAAAAAATTTAATTTAATAAATTGATCAAAAACCTATATACATAGAAGTACAGAATATAAAAGTATTTTAAATGTTTTAAATGGTTTAATTGAAAAATGAGAAAAATTATTAATCTTTAAAATGCATTATCATTCGGAAAACAGTTCGCCAACTATATTGACGAATTGCTCGCAAACATTGTTTGTAAACGCATGTAAGAAGTTCGCGATCCGTTCTAGAATATTTACGAAAATTAAACATGCTATTCATCACATGATATTCACTTTAGATTTTATCGTTTTCTTCGTGGGATGGTAATCATAATTGATTATTTAAAAACCTATGACATTAAATAGACGCGATTATAAATTAATTGCATTCTTTTACTATAGTACAATTCAGATACAGATTCTGTTTGTGAGAGATTAAAAAATAATTGATTAATTATTTGAATAATTGATTATTAATCGATTATATCCATTTCTATTTCTTCTTACCGTTTTTAGAATGAACTTATAAAGAATTACTTACAAACAGCAACCGATCAAAAAATTACAATTAATCGACGAAAAATTACAACGAATTACTTATTAATATGCAAACTGCGCTTGAATAAATGTTCGATCAGAAATAAAATTCGCGATCTGTTTACAGACTGTTCGTCAACTCCGAAAACGCATCTTTTATAAGTCTGATACCTTATTAACATTTGACGTGTCGCACATATGGCACTAGATTACAAGTTACACATAACGATACTGTGTTGTTTTAACCTGGAAGCAATCTTATCTTTTTTTTTATATAAACGATTACTTGATTTTTTACACTATATTTCAAATTATTATAGCATTTTGGCAGGTTGAACTTGATATTTTATATTTGATATTTTTTTTACTACTAAATCTAAATAATAAAGTCTTAGACTTATCCCCCTAAAAATAATAAATACCCAAAATATATACATAAAAAATAATATATAAAAAATAATATAACATAAGTAGTAAAAGATCAATCAGTGGTTAACAAAATACCGTAAAAAAATATCGTTTAAGATTCATGTAATTCGCGAAAGTGTCTCATTTGACCACGTTGCGATTGATCATTATAACAATCGATACCTAAAGTTTTTCAATGAAAATTGAATTGTACGGAGTTCCATTCGTAATTCACAAACATTAATGTATACTCGATAATAGAATTTTTTTATCAAAATATTTTTTCCATTTTTTCCATTTATTTTCTACATATGATGATACATATAAAAAGTATTATAATTCAATAATATTGTTAAACGAATGATTTTATATAATTTCTGTAATAATTTTTATTTAATCATCATATTGATTTTTCACGTCATCTTGATTTACTATCACTAAATGTGAGTGAATTTCACATGATATTGATTTACTTAACATCGTCAAATGTGAGTTATTCATTCGAAAACCACTAACGTATAGCTTAATTTTAGTCATTAAAATATATTTTTTTTAATAGACATCAACTTTCCTTTTTCAGTTTTAATTTTTTTAATGTACAGAAAATCTCTGATACACAGATTAATAAAATATTAAATTTGTGTTATGATATATAAATAACCTGGAAGTTTTCCGAAATGTACAAGAAAATAATTGATGTAAAATTTGAATTGAATAGCTGAATTTTGAATAGCTATCGACAAATAGTACATAGAAAAGGACAATTGAGCATATTTTTCATTATTAATTGCGCGGAAACGAACTCATGGAGGATTTATTTTAACTAAATGTAAATGCAGCTCCCATTTGCGTAGTTTTTGAAGTCTTACAATATTTACAGAATATGTTTTCCCACTCAGATAAAAAGCTGTCTGATATAAATAACGATCGCGACGACAGTCGTCCTCATTATAAAATACGATTACACGAAGCATCGCACGCAACCAGACCGGTTATATACCTTCATTCATTGATTTCTTCATCAAACTAAAAAAAATCTATTAATAAATAAGAAGAGAATCTTACGACATCATGTATCTCTTGCCATTGTTATTCTCAAATCTTCATTTGGGATTGGATGCTCTCACCAATCCGATAGATCTCTCCGCTGGAATTCTCGGTAGAAATCTTGCTCGATCGCGATTATTTTCTCGCTTCCGTAATAGTTATTCTTCGATCAATTTTCACGATCGCGAAGTTTTGGATTTCTATCCTTATATCTCATGGAGGAACTTAAATCGTAACAAACATGTCATCAGTACTACAAGTATCGACAGCGACGGCTTGAAAATCACCGTAAACGTGCAGCAGTATAATCCGGAGGAGATTACTGTCAAAGTGGTGGACAATTGGATGATTATCAAGGGCATACATGAAAAGCAGAACAAGTCCAACGTTGGGTCCCAACAGTTCGTGATACGATATCTATTACCTGGTAACACCGACATCGATCATATAACATCTTCGACATCGAGTGATGGCATCTTGACGATCACGGTACCGTTAAAGATATATCAAAAAGTGATCCAGATCGAGCAGAGCAGACAATCGACCGTTTCTTCTAATAATACGGGACAGGTTCGTCCGGGACAAATTGGCACGAAACAGATTGATGCTAGACAAGCTGAATTTGCTGGCGCAGGACAAGCCGGAGTGGACGCGAGTTCTGCTGATATGGGATAGGCTGGCGTTGGGAAAGCTGACGGAAAAAAGCTTGGTGAAAAATGAAATTATTCAAGAATAAATGATAACAACTTAGGCACACGAGGCAAGATTAAAATCTAAGAAACAATAGATTAAATTATGGATTCTTTTTCTTTTTTTATCTGGTACATAATTTTATGCGCATGTTATTTTATATTTTGCATTATCTTTTATAAAATTATATTCCTCACTGTTTACACATGCATTTACTTTTACAGAGATTACATTCTTTGCTGCTGGTTATAATATTTTTGTATTATAGTTTTACACACACACACACACACACACACACAATTTTTTTTTTATTTATTGATGTTTTGTGCCATAATCTATCCTTGAAAGAAATGTTTTCATGATTTTACATTGATAATAAAGTAAAAGGATTTTTACATTACAAAGTATTGATTCAATATTATATTATTTCTTTCATTTCAGTTATGTTCATCGTAATATTTATGTTATTCGAATTGAATATAATTATGTTTGAATATAATAGAAATTGTATTTTTTTTATTTAAATGTGAAAAATATATTCATAATGGAAACTATTAACATAAATATAATATTTTGTAAGAATTAAAATTTTACGTATATGTTAGTATCATCTTGTAATATTTTTCTCATAATTAATTTATTTTAAAAAATAAAAAATCCGTAGAATAAAGCGTTTTGAGGAAAACTAGACTAGGAAATAATAAATCGCATTTTTAGAATTCTAGGATTTATTAGAATTATGGCGAAACATGATGCGTTTGAAATTTTCGTGTTTTTTTTTTAAACACACATACCACAAAAAATTTCTATAATTTTAATAAATTTTATATTACAAATTAATTTTCTATATTTTCAATATAATAAGTAAATAATATCTAAACGAAGAATTGTCCATTTATTCCTTTCTCTGAAATAATTCACAAATTTTGCTTTTAATTTGACCATTTGATTACAAATAATATCCGATCCTTTCTGTAACTTTGGCTATTAATGTATCAATATTATCGAAAATAATATTCATTAATAATATTCTTATCTGCAGAATTTATTGCCAAGGAACATAATTATGTTTGAACGTTATCTAAATATTTTTGCTGATACACAATTCGAAAATTCTGCTGATACACATTTCCTTGATTATTCAACAGATATGTTCATGATACATAAGCAACAGCAACATAAATATATAAA